ACAGGGCCCCCCCTGCCCTCACAGACAGCACAGAGGGACCTGGAGGTGTGGGGCATGGAGCCAGAAAACGGGGGGGCTGGGGACCAGAGGGGTGCAGGGAGCAGGACAGCCCCCCAGAGAGAGGAGAGACCGGCCAAAGAAGAGGGACAGAGAGACCCCCCACAACCCCTACGGACCCCGGCAGACCCCCGCAGCTGCCTACGGACCCCTACAGCACCCTACAAAACCCTAAGGACACCTACAAAGCCCTACGGACCCCTGCAGACCCCCACGAACCCCTGCAGACCCCTACGAATGCCTAAAAAAACCTGCAGACCCCAGCAGACCCCTACACACCCCTAAGAACCTATGCGGACCCCTATGAGAAGCCCTACAGACCCCTAAGAACCTCTGCAGATCCCTGCGGACACCTGCAAACCCCTACAGACCCCTAAGAAGACCTAGAAACACCTAGAGAATCCTAAGAAACCCCGCAGACCCCTACGGGCCCTTGCAGACCCCTTAGAACCCCTACGGGCCCCTGCAGACCCCCTACGCACCCCTACAGTCCCCTGCAGCTCCTTGAAGCCCCCTGCAGACTCTAGAGACCCCTGCAGACCCCTACACCTTCCTACAGCCCCCTGAAGCACCGTGAAGCCCCCTGCAGCCTCCTAAAGACCCCTGCAGACCCTTAGAACTACCTACAACCCCCTGCAGAACCTAGAGACCCCTATAGATTCCTACACCCCCTAAAAACCCCTGCAGACCCCCACTGCATTTGCAGTTCCTTCAGTCCAGGAAGGACCGGCCCCATGGTCCAAAGACAAAGCCCTGCAGACAGTCGTCTGCCCAGGCTGCCTTGCTGTCCTAGGAGCAGCCTCGCAGATGCCTGAGGCAAAGGTCCAACGGGACCCACCCTGGAAATCCCGAGGATGGAAAATCACAACTCCCACCATCCAGCCACAAGCACTGAAGCTGGCGTTACAGATAAAGACGACATGATACCCCGAGTCGACAAAACACCCAACTGAGCGGCATGCTGCAAGTCCTACAGAACTTTGAATGAGCTGCTGAAAGGAAGCAGGAGCCAGCCGGCCTGAAATCCCTCCGGAATAGAGAGGTGAGCTGTGGGAAACATGGGGAATCAAGAGTCTTCCCCTGAAAGAGATGTATACGAGCTTATGAAAGCTCTCCTCCAAAAACATGGCAAAAACCTCTCTGGGCAGGACCTTAAGATAATGCTCAAATGGGTACGGGTTAAAATACCCACAGTAACTGCATCGAGCATTTTTACGCGGGAACTTTGGGATGATGTGAGGGTGAAACTGTGGGATGCGGCAACAACCGGGAATGCCGAGGCTCAGCGCATGCTCCCGTGGTGGAGGACTATTTTTGAGACTCTCAAGGCACAAGAGAAGAGTAATAATGACAATGAAAAGACAGGGGAAGAATCCCCCACTGCACCTCCACTGCCGCAAACCCCCAAACCTCCAAATGTGGATGCAGCGGCCTATCCCCCAGAGGAAGACCCTTTTGACCCAGGGCCGGTGGACCCTGAGAAGGAACCGGACCTCAACCCCCCCTATCCACATGATGTATGGGCTAACATTATACGGCAAGCCTTGAAAGAGGGGGAATTGGACATGGCCAGGACAATTGTGGCCTCTGGGATACATCAGGGCCGAGGGGCACAGTGGGAGGCTTTAACTTTTCCGGTAGTTAAGGAGCTGCGCCGTACTGTTACTGAGCATGGGCTTTCTTCTCCGTATTTTGCAAGTTTGTTGTCTTTTGTTTTTGATACTTATGATATGACCCCGCATGATTTAAAATCCCTAGCTCAATTGCTACTAACTCCACCACAGTATTCCTTATGGGAATTGCACTGGAGAGGGGGGCTCCAGGCACTCCTTCTCACATACATGGGTCATGATAACGCGGCCTTGGCCACATTGACTATAGAACATCTTATGGGGACAGGACAGCACTTGGATCCAGTAGCCCAAGCCCGAGCCATCCCACGGGAGGCTCTTGAAGCGGTCCAAGGTGAGGCAAAAAAGGCCTTTTTTAAGGTTCCTGATGCACAAAGACCTCGGAAAGCCTTCATCACGATTACTCAAGAACCCCGAGAACCTTATATGCAGTTTATTGATAGATTAAAGCAGGTTTTGGAGCGTCAGGTAGATAATGGGGATGCGCGGCGATATTTGTTGTTAAAACTAGCCGTGGAGAATGCGAACGCGGATTGTAAAAAGCTCTTGAAATCCCTTCCTAACCAGAACCCTACCCTGGTTGAGATGGTAGAAGCCTGTAATAGGATGGGTACTGTAGATCATATATTTGAGGCTATGGCCGCTGCCTTTGCAGCCACGCGCGGCCCGTTGGGTCCGGGGATTTGTTACGGCTGTGGCAAACCTGGCCACCTGAAAAAGAATTGTTTAGCTACCAACACCGGCGCTGAGCCCCAGGCTCCTGGAATTTGCCCTAGGTGCAGGAAAGGACGTCATTATGCTAATCAATGTCGATCTAAGTATGATTTCCAGGGTCAGCCGATACAGGGAAACCGGTGGCGGAGCGCGGGGCAGCGACGCGCGCAGACACAAATCCCGCAGCCGATGACCCAAAACCCCCGCAGGGGGGCAGCACTGCCTCAAGTCTTCGTCCAGCGACAGCCGGTAGCGCCGGGTTGGACCTGGCAACCGCCCGCACAGTAACGGTACTCGGTTCCTCGGTTCATCTATTGTCAATGAACGTTTTCGGGCCCCCACCCCCTGGAATACAAGCGTTACTGTTAGGTAGGTCGTCTACAACTTCGTCGGGACTCTTTGTGTTACCAGGAGTCATTGACTCTGACAGCGTTGATGAGATTAAGACCATGGCATGGACCCCGTTCCCCCCCTGCACGATACCGAAAGCGCAATTAATAGTGATTCCCAAGGAGACGGGCTTCCCCCATTTCTACCCAGTCCCAACAAAGGCGGGGAGGCTTTGGGTCTACGGGGAACCCACAAATTCTGTGGGTGCAGTCCATTTCCCAGAAGCGAGCTGTATGTCAATGTACCCTCACCCGCGGGGGACAGCAAGTAGTGCTAAATGGAATCCTTGATACTGGAGCTGATGTTATGGTGATTTCTCAAGTTAAGTGGCCCCCGCAATGGCCTTTAGCTAATGTTTCCCAAGCGTTGGCTGAATTGGAGGAACTGGTAGTAGCCAACAAAGTTTAGAATTGATCCAAATTAAAGGCCCAGAGGGGCATGTAGCCTCTGTTAAACCTTTTGTGTTACCTGCTCCTATGATTCTGTGGGGACGTGATGTGCTGTCACAGTGGGGAATGTCCATTCGGACCCATTTTTAGATGGGGTCATTGAAGTGCGCGACACCCTAAAATTAACATGGAAAACGGATTCCCCTATTTGGGTAGATCAATGGCCCCTACTGTTGGAAAAGCTTTGTGCTCTCCAAGAATTAGTTACGGAGCAGTTAACAAAAGGGCATATTGCGCCTTCTACTAGTCCTTGGAATTCACCTGTTTTTGTAATTAAAAGACAAACTGGCAACTGGCGCCTGCTCCATGACCTCAGAAAAATTAATGACGCTATGGAAGATATGGGAGCTCTCCAACCAGGACTCCCGTCCCCCACTATGATTCCTCGAAATTGGTATTTGATGGTTATTGACCTTAAAGACTGCTTCTTTAATATTTCACTGCATCCGGACGATGCTCCTAAATTTGCTTTTTCAGTCCCAAGCGTCAACATGCAAGCCCTGTTGCAGAGATACCAGTGGGTTGTGCTGCCACAAGGAATGAAGAACAGCCCTACAATCTGTCAATGGTACGTGGCTAAAGTGCTTAGTCCTGTCAGGACTGCAATGTCCAATGTTTTATTATACCACTGTATGGATGACATCCTGGTGGCTGCACAACATCACGAGGTCATGGAGGAAGCTGTAGCCCTTGTCACGGCTGCCGTTGAGTCGGCAGGCCTCTGTATTGCGCCGGAAAAAATTCAGAAAATGCCACCATGGAAATATTTAGGCTGGCGCGTAAGAGCTCAAACTATAATTCCTCAATCTTTACAGATAAGAACAGATATAAAAGACTTACATGATGTGCAAAAATTACTGGGGACAATCAATTGGGTTCGACTACTGTTGGGGATTTCTACTGTGGAATGGAGTCCTGTATGTGAATTACTTAAAGGGGATGCAAATCTAAGTTCCCCCCGTAGCCTTGGCCCTGAGGCTATTGATTCTCTGCAGAAGGTTGCTGCAGCAATTGCTCACCGGCAAGCACATCGATGGGCCCCTGAGTTGCCCTTTTACCTAATCTTTTTAAATCCTGCTCGACAGCCTCATGCACTGATGTTTCAATGGGATCCTCAGAAATCAGATCCACTATTAATTATCGAGTGGGTTTTCCTGTCAAACCAACCTACAAAAACTATCTTAACACAGCATGAGATGTTTTCTTTCCTGATCATTAAAGCTAGACAGCGTCTGTTGACGTTGTCAGGAGTCGATTTTGTATCCATTTGCTTGCCTGTGACAGACGTGCATTTACAGTGCCTTTATCAGCAATCAGATGCCTTTTGCATAGCGCTGGCAGGCTACACAGGTCACCTTACATCTCACCCACCTCCACATAAACCATTAAATAGCAATTTCTCTCGGATACCCAAACCAAAAAGGAGTGATTTGCCACTACAAGCCCTCACTGTATTTACCGATGGATCTGGAAACTCACATAAATCAGTCATCTTGTGGTGGAATGACCAACAGGGACGATGGGACTCAGACATAGAGACCATCCCTGGTTCTCCTCAAATAGTAGAATTGACTGCAGTTGTTCGAGTCTTCTGAAAATGGTCTACACCACTTAATATAATTACTGATTCTGCTTATGTTGCAGGAGTCGGCAGGCCTCTGTATTGCGCCGGAAAAAATTCAGAAAATGCCACCATGGAAATATTTAGGCTGGCGCGTAAGAGCTCAAACTATAATTCCTCAATCTTTACAGATAAGAACAGATATAAAAGACTTACATGATGTGCAAAAATTACTGGGGACAATCAATTGGGTTCGACCACTGTTGGGGATTTCTACTGTGGAATTGAGTCCTTTATTTGAATTACTTAAAGGGGATGCAAATCTAAGTTCCCCCCATAGCCTTGGCCCTGAGGCTATTGATTCTCTGCAGAAGGTTGCTGCAGCAATTGCTCACCGGCAAGCACATCGATGGGTCCCTGAGTTGCCCTTTTACCTAATCATTTTAAATCCTGCTCGACAGCCTCATGCACTGATGTTTCAATGGGATCCTCAGAAATCAGATCCACTATTAATTATCGAGTGGGTTTTCCTGTCAAACCAACCTACAAAAACTATCTTAACACAGCATGAGATGTTTTCTTTCCTGATCATTAAAGCTAGACAGCGTCTGTTGACATTGTCAGGAGTCGATTTTGTATCCATTTGCTTGCCTGTGACAGACGTGCATTTACAGTGCCTTTATCAGCAGTCAGATGCCTTTTGCATAGCGCTGGCAGGCTACACAGGTCACCTTACATCTCACCCACCTCCACATAAACCATTAAATAGCAATTTCTCTCGGATACCCAAACCAAAAAGGAGTGATTTGCCACTACAAGCCCTCACTGTATTTACCGATGGATCTGGAAACTCACATAAATCAGTCATCTTGTGGTGGAATGACCAACAGGGACGATGGGACTCAGACATAGAGACCATCCCTGGTTCTCCTCAAATAGTAGAATTGACTGCAGTTGTTCGAGTCTTCTGAAAATGGTCTACACCACTTAATATAATTACTGATTCTGCTTATGTTGCAGGAATTGTTGAACATGCAGAAGCGTCTGTACTGCGTGAAGTTTTGCATTCTGGCTCATTTGCTTTATTACAGGAGCTTATCTTCCTTTTAGGTTCACCCCCTCATCCTTATTTTATCATGCATGTAAGAGCACATACCTCTTTACCTGGATTTATTGCAGAAGGAAATCGACAAACCGATTTATTAACACTACTGATACAAGTATTGCCGGATCGTATGGTGCAGGCTAAGCTTAGTCATTCCTTTTTCCACCAGAACGCTGGAGGTCTCAAACGGCAGTTTGGGCTCACTTCCCAGCAAGCAGCAAATATAATCACAGTATGTCCGGACTGTCAAAAACATTCTTTTCCATCAATAGCAGGAGGAGTTAACCCAAGAGGACTACAGAGCCTGCAACTATGGCAGACAGATGTCACTCATCATTCGGAGTTTGGTAAATGGAAATATGTACATTCCTCTATTGATACTTTTGCATTATTCGGAGTTTGGTAAATTGAAATATGTACATTCCTCTATTGATACTTTTTCTAGCGCTTTGTTTGCTTCTTGCCACACAGGGGAGAAGGCGCATGACGTCTGCAAGCATTTGATGTGTGCTTTTTGCTACCCTGGGCATACCCTCTCAAATAAAAATGGACAATGGCCCTGCATATACCTCGGCTGCAACAAAAACCTTTTTTAACTCCTGGGGTGTGACCCACGTTACTGGCATCCCTCATTCTCCTACAGGTCAATCCCTAATAGACCGCTCTCACCAATCTTTGAAACGTTTATTGCAACAACAGAAAGGGGGAGTAGGGACTGCTACCCCGGAGGAACGCCTACAGAAAGCTTTATATGTTTTTAACTTTTTGAACTGTTCTTTGTTAGATAACAACCCTCCAATAGTTCGACATTTTAACACGAATGCTTCACTTGAGGCAAGAATTAAGGCCCCAGTGCTGGTTCGAGATCCTGAAACAGGTAAGATCATGGGACCATATCCCCTTATCACATGGGGCAGAGGTTATGCTTGTGTCTCCACAGAAAGAGGCCCTAGATGGCTTCCAGCAAAGAGTGTACGGCCTTTCCGTGAATCCCTACAACAACCAACTGCTGAGACCTCTGATTATTCTCCAGACCATCCCTCCAAGCAACAAACTGACGGATCTCCTGAGGAAGGTCGGGACGACGTAAACTGAACACTGCAGGCGAAAAAGGACTATATATGAACCAGTGCAAAGAAGTATTAATTGTGGAAATTTCTTGTACTTTTTGTAATACCTGCGACCCCTGGGTCCTGTGTACATGTCTCACTTGTAAGAGGGAATGGTGGTGTAGGGCAATGCTTGCTAGTCGTTGGTGTAATAACTGCCTCTGGCGCAATGCTTTTGATCATGATCGTGCTGGGAGGATTGAAAGGAACCTCTAGCTTCCCATTTTTGCCCGCACTGCCTAAAGCTAATGTGTGGGTAACTCTAGCAAACCTCACTGGACAAGACACTTTGTGTCTTGCTACTGCTTCCCCTAATAACCCCTTTTCCACATGCCTTGTGGGTTTGCTGCTGGATATATGGCCAATACCTACAGCGATCCAACATGCATTTCCAATTAGAAATGTGTCAAGAAATGTGACTGATAATTGGGATGAGTGGACCCACTATCTCCCAACCGCTAACCTAGAACCACAAGAGATCGGGCTTCTCGGCTCAGTAAAGATGGATTTTTGTGTAAAATTCAACTACACGGGTAAGAATCAGTCTAGGGCATGGAGTGTCTCCCCTGTCCATCCCGTGTTTAGAAACACCACTGCATGGTGTAATTATACGTCAACAAACCTATCTAAATCTGGTTAAGTTCCCCCATCCTTACCACCGGGAATATTCCTTATTTGTGGGGACTGAGCATGGCCTGCAATTCCCTCTCATATTAAAGGAGGTCCATATAGCCTTGGGCGCCTTTCTGTCTTAACTCCTAACACCTCTGCAATTTTACAACATCGTCTTTCTCATAGAGCAAAGCGTGGTATTCATGCATATACCCCCGATTGTGATGATAATCTAGATTTTTTGACTTTTAGTAAATGCTTCTCTGCCTCTCTCTTGTTACCTGGCGCAGCCGCTGGAAAGGCCTTGGCAACTCTGGATAAACTTGGCTGCTGGCTTGCTAAACAGACTAATGCTAGTAGTAATGCATTATCTGACCTTTTGTTAGATGTTGACAGTATTCGACATGCTACCCTGCAAAATAGAGCTGCTATAGATTTTTTGTTACTGGCACAAGGCCATGGATGTGAGGATTTTGAGGGCATGTGTTGTATGAAGCTCTCTGACCACTCAGAATCGATTCATGCCAGTATTCAACAGCTTAAAGCAGGAGTTTTTAAGCTCCGGCAGGATGATAGTTGGGATTGGCTAGACAAACTTTTTGGAGGATGGGGTTTGTCAGGATGGTTAAGAAGTTTTGTCAAAATGGCTGTATATTATTTGGTTGTCTTTATTCTTTTGTTATTCCTTTTACCTTGCTTGTTACAATGCCTACAGAAGTTAATTGCGAGATCTATTAAGAAGATTCTTGTTGTGCAAAAGGAAGGGGGAGATGAAGGCCAGAGCTCAGCTAGCCTCAGCAAAACCTCAAGTTTTGCACAACTGATAAGAAAGGACGTGCTGGAACTCGTTGGCTACCAGCCTTGGGAGGAACAAGATAAAAATATTGTCTAGAAGGAACAGAGAGTGCTTGCTCTGTTGAGAGATGCAGACAGTAAATTGTGTTGAAAAAAAGGATGTGCTAAGGACCTTGTAGTTTGGGCAAGGAAGGTATGTTAGTGTTAACCAATGAGTAAATGCCTAGTGCTTAAAATTAGCCAATCATTAGAAGACACGCTGTTTTTGCTATGGATATAAGGAACCTAAGAAATCCTAATAAATCGACATTGACATCGACATCTTGCTTGCATCAAGCTGTGTCCCCTCTCTCAATTGCGGCACCCCGTGCCGCTCCCAGCACACCCACCCCAGTCACTTACTGGTCCCGGGGCAGATGTCCCACGTGTTGACAAGGGGCCCCGTGTTCTGGAGGAGAGTGGGGTGATGCAGCCAGACACCTGTGCAGAAGCTCTGGGGCTTCCCCGCCTGGCTGAACTCTGTGTCGGTCACCGGGATGGTGGCTTTGTCCTCCAGAGAGGGAGAAACTGAGGCACCGAGATCAAAAAAGGGTGCTCAGTGTGCAGGGATGTGCCTGAAAGCCCGTGCCATCAGCCTTGTCCCCAGGGCCAGGACCAGAAGCAGCCGTGGCTCTGGGATGGGGATGGGTGCTGTGGTGCCGGTGCCGACCCCGTTGCCCCCAGCAGCCGTACCCCAGATGGAGCTGCCCCTGTTGTCCCTGGGAAGCCAGGCCAGCGTGATGGTTGATACTGAGGTCTTGGAGATGGTCAGGCGGGGCTGGTCCGGGGGCACTAGGGAGGAGGGAAAAGCCCGTGAGCACCGTGCACGCCTGGGCTGAAAGTGCCCCAAAACTGTGTCCCCCCCAAAAGGAAAATGACAACAAGACCTCCCCCTCAGCCCTGGGCCAGTGAGAGCCCCTCACTCACTCACTCACTCACTCAAGACAGACCCTGGGGTGCTTCACCCCCCGGGAGCAGCAGGCACACAAGAACACGGGCTCACACCATCCATCGAGAAGGACCATGACCATACGGGGCACGGATGGACCCCTACATTCCCCTACAGAACCCTGTAGACCCCCTCAGACTCCTACAAACAGCTAAGAAACCCTACAGACCCCTGCAGCCCCCTACAGACCCCTGCAGAACCCTGGCAGGCCCCTACAGGCCCCTGCAGAACTCCACAGACCCCTACAGCACCCTGAAACTACCTACTCACCCCTGCAGCCCCCTACAGACCTTCCAGGCCCCTAGAGACCCTACAGACCCCTACAGACCCCTGGCAGCCCCCTGGCCACCCACTACAGACCCCTACAGACCCCTGCAGCCCTTTACAGCCCTCTGTGGACCCCTGCAGACCCCCAACGGACCCCTGCAGACCCCCAGCAACCACCTGCAGCCCCCTACACACACATGGCAGACCCCTACAAAACCCCACAGACCTCTACAGACCCCTGAAACTACCTGCTGACCGCTACAGACCCCTGTAGACCCCCGCAGACCCCCAAACCCCTTGCAGGATGAAGGAACAGAACAAACAGAATTTAGTGCTATGCAAGTTGTTGATTTGCAAAGAAAAGAAAGTATCCGTTAAACATTTTGCAAGGATATTTCTATGGTGTTCATCTATTAGAGTTACTAAAATGTTGGTACAGACCCCTGAAACTGCCTGCTGACCCCTACAGACCCCTGTAGACCCCCGCAGACCCCCAAACCCCTTGCAGGATGAAGGAACAGAACAAACAGAATTTAGTGCTATGCAAGTTGTTGATTTGCAAAGAAAAGAAAGTATCCGTTAAACATTTTGCAAGGATATTTCTATGGTGTTCATCTATTAGAGTTACTAAAATGTTGGTAAACCTCACTGATACTCTTGAAGATGATTACATGCAATAGTGGTACTGTGGATATCTGAAATAATTCACTTGTACTGCAAGCTACTGGTAGGTATAAGAACATGAAAATTTAAAATAGGTTAAAAAATCTGCCATGTATATGTAGACTTAAATGTGCACATATAAATGCTATCATTCTGGAGATCATCTACTTCTGTTGTGCCAGGAGAAACATGAATATTTCTCCTTGAGTATCCACAATTCATTATATGAAATAAGCTACAACACTCTCTTCACCCTTCTTACCACCTTTTCATCAAGAGTTAGGAAACTAATATACTTTTTTATAGTCTATCAAACATTCTGGAAATTTGCAACCTGTATAATGAAAATGTTAGTTAGGCTTGTGCTGTATCATTTGTCAACTTTTCCCCTTATTGCCTTTTCTTGTACTTGTGATATGAAATAATGGTTAAAACTTTGTCTCCCACAGGTTCCGGGTTGTCTGATTCAAGGGAATTGATGAGCTTTGCGACAGCATTCAAACTCTAACCATGGAGGCTGGCATTCCCTAATTTCTGTCATTGCTTAATGAGGATCAAGAAGATGCAAGAGGTATGTGCACCTATGTCTGCCCCTCACCGGTAGATGAGGCACCCTCACCAGGGCTTGGTCTACTCTACACTGCCTTGGTCCCTCTCCCTGAGGAGCAATTGTAACTGTTTAACAGGATGCAAGCCCTACTAGACTTGTCATTTAATTTCAATTGTGGGACCTAACACACACCTTTTAGTTGTCACCAGTAATTCACGCACTTGTCTTCCCAGCTGCACACCAGAAAAAACTAGACTTGTCATTTACCTTTCAATTGTGGGACCTAACACATACCTTTTAGTTGTCACCAGTAATTCACACACTTGTCTTCCCAGCTGCACACCAGAAAAATTCTTGGCTTGGCAGAGTGGGGATGAGCTGGAGGTC